AACTGCTGTATGTCCAAGCCCCTTGCACACAAAAACTCCTTTATCCCCCTCCCCAGCCCACTTTTTTTCTTGGACGATCTCTACTCCTCCTCCCCTTCCATTACAGATTTATACTCTCCACGTCTTCCTATTTTGCTCCACCCTCCCTAAATGACCAAACCACCTAAACAACCCCTCAGCTCTCTGAATAATACATTTAATAACTCCGAACCTCCTCCAAATTTCCTCACTGCGAATTCTCTGCATAATATTTATGCATCACATTGCCCTCAGACACGACATCTCCACTATACTCTCATATGTTCTGTTTTCTGTCTGCAAGGAGAACGTTCTTTGTCTTCACAAATACCTCATCGCACCACCCACCTTTTTCTCTTTTATCAATTCTGTGGTTTACCTCGTCTTTCAAACAACGTAGAGTATATAACACCATCATCACAGTGTGACACATGCTTAATGCATAAACGAGGTAAGTTAAGTTTAATGTGAAAGAGTTTCCCATTCCAGAAATATGAAAAAAAAAAAAACGTAGATTAAAAATTATTTCTTCCATGAATAAATGAAAAAAAATTAACAAAAATTAATATTTTAAGATGATAAAAGTATGTAATTCATATACATCCTACAGCAGGCAATTATGTGTGAAATATAAATTTGCCAGTAGTTCCGACAGACACTATATGAATACATTTTGAATAACATAATAACACAGCATTCACACGTATTTTAACATAGAAAGTAATGAAAAATTTAATGTGTTTTTCCAACTGCTATCCTTCATTTTAATCTCTCTTTAAAAAAAAAAATCTTTGACATTTATTTTAAATGTTTTAGGCTCTAAAAATCCAGCTTATTCTCAGAAACTTAGTTTATAGGTAAAAAACAGTATTCAAAATAATATTAATTAGTTTATAAAGAAACGAATATTTTTTTTTCATTATTTAATGATGACACGTTACGAATACAGTCAGTAAAAAAAAATTTCACCCAAAGATGACAAGGTATAATCACTCAGTGTTGTGATCTGGAGAATCTAATACCAGGGAGAAAATATACACAGATGCATTTTAATGTGATCTTTTATTGACTATGTTTCGTCCACACAGTGGGCTTTATCAGGTCACAAACAGATCTATCTGCGTAAAGAGTACATGAATATATATAGTGTGGAGAGTCAGGTGGAGAATGTCGGGTAGGCTGGATTTGAGACCAATCTGCAAGGGACGGGTACGTACTTGCCCATCCCTATATAATAATAATAATAATAATAATAATAATATCTTTATTTCAACAAGTACGTGTACAAGGTATACAGTCCTAGCTGACATCAATGACATACTGCTATATAGAAAGGCGCTTGTTATACAGAGCATTTCGGGCAATTTAGACCAGTTTTGTCCCAGGATGTGACCCACACCAGTCGACTAACACCCAGGTACCCATTTTATACTGATGGGTGAACATGGTCAGCAGGTGTCTTAAGGAAACACGTCCTAATGCTATCCTGGGTAGATCTATTGCTGACTTAATAAAGCGCCCACTGTGTGGGCGAAACGTAGTCAATAAAGATCACATTATTCTGCAATTATGTCTATTTTTCCATCGTGTCGCTGTTTTATACGATTTATTTCCGTCTAACACCGGAATCAAGAATAAAACGTTTAATATATTCCACTTCCAGTATACACCACCAACCAGTATCGCTACCGGACTACTAATTCTCTCTTCATACATGAAATTACAATAAAACCCGTAATTACAAATATGAAAAAAAAATACCATTCTTCTGAAGATGTTTGCCTAAGCACATGAAAGCGCTCAGGTTATAGTTCCTATTTTCATTGTGGTATTTCTGTCTCTCTTCATAGTTGAACCCTCTCAGATTTTGAAAAAAAGAACCTAATTGCATACCAATGTACTTTTCCTAGTTACTGAGCTCGTTTTCCCAAGTGTGGACTCGATTTCTGTTCCGTATATTAGAGAGCATACGTGAAAGTTAAGAACATGTATGAGCCAATGAGATGTTAGGTATTATCCAGTTCGATTGAGGGGGCAATTGCTGACTTGTCTAGGACTTTAAATTGATAGATTATAGAGGTATGGGTGTTTGTGGGAAACAATCAGGCTGCAGTATTAGGGTTGAAAACAAGAGATATTACGGGGATACCGCAAGGATATGCTTAAAAGACAATATTCAAAATAAAGTTGCTTGTAAAGGCAAATAATTGATCAACAAACAAAGAGAGATAGTAGAGGGCAACGAGTGACTAGCTCCCTTAACATTTACTATACAAATAGTAGGAGTCTAAGAAATAAGATAGATGAGCTAAGATTACTTGCAAGTGCAGGTAATATAGATATTATTGGTATAACAGAGACCTGGTTCAACCTGAAAGATAGAGAAATACCTTCTGAATGCAACATACAGGGTTATAAACTATTCCACACTGACAGGGTCAACAGAAAGGGTGGTGGAGTGGCGATGTACGTCAGAGATAACTTAAATTGTCTTAGACATGATATAAGATTAGAAACATCGGACACAGAATTTGTTTAGCTACAGTTTCTCAAGGGTCGTGACAAATTAATTTTGGGTGCGATTTATAGGCCCCTAGACTTTGATAGGGAGTGCAGTAATCTGTTACGGTACAAAATTCATAAGGCATCTAGATATGAAAATGTTATGTTAATGGGGATTGTAACTTTAGACAAACTGATTGGAACAATTCGACAGGAAAACTTGAGTTTAGTGACTTTCATGACACTGTTCAGGATTGCTTTTTAGAACAGTTTGTGACAGAACCAACTAGAGGAAACAATCTGCTTGACTTGGTTCTTGCCAACAAAGCATAACTAATTAATAATCTTGAGGTTAATGATGAGCTTGGGGAAAGTGATCACAAATCACTTAGTTTCAATATATCATGGAATTAACCAGATAACTGCAATCAAATCTCTGTCCCAGACTTTCGCTTGGCCGATTTCATGAGACTGTGAAATTACCTGGGTGGGGTAAATTGGGATGACCTGACTATGGGTCAGGGAGGTGATCTTGATTGCCAACATGACGTTGTTCAGAGCATAGTTCTAGCTGCCCAGGCAACTTTTGTTCCGAGTAGGGAAATTAGATCTAACAAAAATGATCCCAAATGGAGGAACAATAGATTAAAACATCTCATTGGTCAAAAGAGAGGCATATATAGGCGTATCAAAAGATGGAATGGGCAGTTAAGAAATCGATATATTCACTTAAAGAGTGAAATAAAAAAAAGGAATAAGAAAAGCTAAAAGGGATTATGAGGCTAAGGTCGCAAGGGATTCAAAGACTAACCCAAAAGGGTTCTTTCAGGTATACAGAAGTAAGATTAGGGACAAGATAGGCCCACTTAAGAGTAACTCAGGTCAGATCGCTGACAGTGGTAAGGATATGTGTGAAATTTTCAATACTTACTTTCTCTCAGCTTTTTCCCGGGAAAATACTAGCGAAATTCCTGAAATAATTGATTATGTAGAACAGGAGGATAATAAACTATGCACGATTGCTGTTAACTAGTGACATGGCCCTCAGACAAATAAAGAAATTAAAACCTAACAAATCCCCAGGTCCTGTTGAACTGTTTGCAAGGGTGTTAAATGAATGTAAAGAGGAACTTAGCATACCTTTGGCTAATCTTTTCAACATATCACTTCAAACTGGCATAGTGCTTGATAAGTGGAAAATGGCAAATGTAATACCTATTTACAAGGCAGGTGACAGGTCCTCAGATTTGAACTGTAGACCAATAAGCCTTACCTCCATAGAGGGAAAATTTATGGAATCAATAATTGCCGAAGCAATTCGTAGCCATCTTGATAGGCACAGATTGATTAATGAATCTCAACACGGTGCCCACTGTGACGAACGGGGTTCCACAGGGGTCGGTCCTAGGACCAGTGCTAGTTTTGGAATATGTGAATGACATAATGGAATGATAGACTCAGAGGTGTCCCTGTTCGCAGATGATGTGAAGTTATTGAGGAGAATTAAATCAGATGAGGATCAGGCAGGCCTTCAAAGAGACCTGGACAGGCTGGACACGTGGTCCAGCAACTGGCTTCTCGAATTCAACCCTGCCAAATGCAGAGTCATTAAGATCGGCTAGGTGGCCAACGACTACAAACCTCGCTCAAGAAGAAAGATCTTGGCGTGAGTATAACACCGAACACGTCTCTGGAAGCACACATCAACGAGATAACCGCTGCAGCATATGGGCGCCTGGCAAACCTGAGATTAGCATTCCAATACCTAAGTAACGAATCTTTCAAGTCACTGTACACTGTGTACGTCTGGCCCATACTGGAGTATGCAGCACCAGTTTGGAACCCGCACTGGGTCAAGCACGTTAAGAAATTAGAGAAAGTGCAAAAATTTGGGACAAGGTTAGTTCCAGAGCTAAGGGGAATGTCCTATGAAGAAAGGTTGAGGGAAATCGGCCTGACGACACTGGAGGACAGGAGGGATAGGGGAGACATGATAACGACAGTATGCGTCAAAATACTGTCGGAGACAATAGACCGATGAGTCACAGGGATGTTAGGAAGCAGTTCTTCAGTCATAGAGTGGTCAGGAAGTGGAGCAGTCTGGCGAGCGATGTAGTGGAGGCAGGAACCATACATAGTTTTAAGACGAGATACGATAAAGCTCATGGAGCAGGGAGAGAGAGGGCCTAATAGCGTTCAGTGAAGAGGCGGGGCCAGGAGTCTCGACCCCTGCAACTACAATTAGGTGAGTACACATGCACACACACACACACACACACACACACAAAGGAGAGGTAAAGGGAAAGAGAGAGAATTGAGAAGTGAGAGCCCAGGCCATGTGATGCGACTGCGCTATCACCATCTGAGAAAGAGAGAGAGAGAGAGAGAGAGAGAGAGAGAGAGAGAGAGAGAGAGAGAGAGAGAGAGAGAGAGAGAAGGAGATGGGGTCGGGATGTGCGTGTGGAGGCAGTGATGGCGTGGTGCTGGTGAGGGAGAGTATTTGTGTGCGAGTGAGTGTTTGTGCTGGCCAGGGACTCCCATACACAACAACCTCACTCAGGATTACCTTGAGATGCGACTCGTGAACCCCCACCCACAGTAACCATTACTTCGTAATTATTAACTGTTGCTGAAAAAAAAGTATGACAAGTATCATAGTGAAAAACTATGAAATTTAATTTACGACTATGTAATTTCTCTATGATTTAATATTAGTGTAACAAAAACAAAAGCACAGAAAAGAACAAATAACCCGCGTATTTCATTGTAAAACAACTATAAAAAACTGACAAATGCTGGTTCATTTACAGTGAAAATTTACATCGGGTGATCACTGCAATGAAAGTCTCTACTGTATCAGCCACAAACACTTCATGACGTCTACCCCGAGTCTTTCTTCAAACTGAGTGAGTGAAAACCTGCCTTTTTCTCACCATCCAGCAGTTAATATTTTCCATTGTCTTTTTTCTGTTTCTTGAAATATATTTAAACATTTCCATGTTTCCGTTATCATCGTTTCTATTGACTCTATAGTGCGATTCCTCTCACTTTTGATCTAAAACAGTTATAATAGCAAATAGCATGATACACTGTGATTTAATAGATTCTTCACACATCACATAGTGTTATACCAAGTATACGTCTTCTATTCATTTTGCAATGCTCGATGTTGAATTTTTGCTAGCAATTCTTTATATGGGTTTCAAAGAATTTCTTATTTCTTACATGACTACTGACACCATTTCCTGAATTTTCTTTGTCAGTAACTGCTCTCAATAAACATTACATTTTTTTGAATGAAATTTTGTTATTCTTTAAATAGGAGTTCTAATACCTTTAGTTCCTGTTAATTAAACTGTCTTGTTTTCCTACCCTGATGCTCATTTATTCAGTTAATAACCACTGCTTTTTTAAGGGAGGATCACAAGAAGAGTTTTAATACCAACGAGATATTGCTGGAGATGTAAATATTTTTGATTGACACTCTTAAAAATTAGTACGACAGTTGCCTTAGCTCGGTGTCACTACTCTTGGAGACATCCTTCAAGGCACTGGTTTTGGAGACATTATTCACGGCACTGGTCTTGGAGACATCCTTCATGGTGCTTCTCTTGGAGACATTCTTCAAGGCACTGGTTTTGGAAACATTATTCACGGCACTGGTCTTGGAGACATTCTTCATGGTGCTTCTCCTGGAGATATTCTTCTTGGTAATTCCCTAGGAGACATCCCTCGTGGTACTTCCCATGGAGACATTCTTCATGACACTGGTCTTGGAGACATTCTTCATGGCGCTGGTCTTGGAGACATTCTTCATGGCGCTGGTCTTGGAGACATTCTTCATGGCACTGGTCTTGGAGACATTCTTCATGGCACTGGTCTTGGAGACATTCTTCATGGCACTGGGCTTGGAGACATTCTTCATGGCACTGGGCTTGGAGACATTATGGCACTGGTCTTGGAGACATTCTTCATGGCACTGGGCTTGGAGGCATTCTTCATGGCACTGGGCTTGGAGGCATTCTTCATGGCACTGGTCTTGGAGACATTCTTCATAGCACTGGACTTGGAGACATTATGGCACTGGTCTTGGAGACATTCTTCATAGCACTGGTCTTGGAGACATTATGGCACTGGTCTTGGAGACATTCTTCATAGCACTGGTCTTGGAGACATTATGGCACTGGTCTTGGAGACATTCTTCATAGCACTGGTCTTGGAGACATTATGGCACTGGTCTTGGAAGACATTCTTCATAGCACTGGTCTTGGAGACATTATGGCATGGTCTTGGAGACATTCTTCATAGCACTGGTTTTTGGAGACATTATGGCACTGGTCTTGGAGACATTCTTCATAGCACTGGTCTTGGGCGACATTATGGCACTGGTCTTGGAGACATTCTTCTTTAGACTGGACTTGGAGACATTAGGCACTGGTCTTGGAGACATTCTTCATAGCACTGGTTTGGAGACATTATGGCACTGGTTTTGGGGAAGACATTCTTCATAGCACTGGTCTTGGAGACATTATGGCACTGGTCTTGGAGACATTCTTCATAGCACTGGTCTTGGAGACATTATGGCACTGGTCTTGGAGACATTCTTCATAGCACTGGTCTTGGAGACATTATGGCACTGGTCTTGGAAACATTCTTCATGGCACTGGTCTTGGAAATATTCCGCAAGGTTAAAAGAAACATCTCATCTCTTCTACATGCAAATATATAATACTATATGGATTTTATACGTTTTTTTTTCATTCTTTCATGTAGCTTACAATGTATTCTCAGCTCTGCTTCTCTCTACGATACCGTTCCATCCAACAACTTCCTTATCGCTCTCAAATTTGACTTTTGCAAATCTTCCCCAATTCTGCCTGTCTTATAATTTACATTATTTTTGGTCTTGTTTCCACAAAATCGATATTTTTTACAGGTAAGCTTCTAGTTGGCTTTTCTATGCATGTTATTTAATTTTAGCAGATGACATTTAATCAAGGGCACTACAATGTTTTGGTGGCAAAGTAATTGCCATCATCTGGAGAATGATAAAACAATATTCTAACCAAATTAGGTAATTTAAAATATGATATCAAAAGAAAAAGATAAGGAAAAGATTAACAATTAGTAAATTAACTGGTCAGAGGAATATGTTAATTTGTCCAGCAAGAATCAAGTAGCCAGTCATCTAAAGAAATCACAATATTAAACAGTAAACAGTAATCAATAAATTTATTAATCAAGAGTCTGCATTATTCAAGGAATCATACAAAGTAAATCCTACTACACAAAGCATTTCAGGCAGATTTAAAATTAAACAGTCGTAATAATATAGGAGAGAACAGTAAAATTATACAAATATATAGGAAACGCTTTCTTCCTCATGGAATGTTTTGACCTCAACGTACCCATTGCAATCCTAGTAACATTGCCTATCTCCTGTCGAAGCTTGAAAATGTAAACGCTTTGTAGTTAATGCTTTCCCATCTTATAATAGCTACTAGGTCATTTCGAGAAAGTTCCCTGAACTAATCTGCTTGGACTTCCTACTTATTTCTGAAACACTGCAAGCTCCAGATGTGTTGATTGCAATAGGAAAACCATAGAATTATCATTCAACTCTCCCTTCGGCTGTTTTGCATATTGTAAGCTTGTTCGCGATTTTGGCAATATATATATATATATATATAATGGGGTCCACCTCTGGTGTAAATTGTGGGACCCAAAGCCTCGGAGAAGTGGATAAATAGGCTTCAATTAAGAATATTTGGATTTCTTACTGAAGACGTTTGAATATTCCACTTTCCCTACCACCCCATCTTTTCATTCTTTTTTTTTTCCAATATATATATATATATATATATATATATATATATATATATATATATATATATATATATATATATATATATATATATATATATAACGGAATTTAGTGACCAAGGTAATAAATACTCTATCATGATGCATTTGAAGGTGAGCCAATAAGTTATATTGGCCTGGTAACTCGGTGTGGATGTCTCCGGATTCGCTATGGCTACTAGTTGCCTCCTAAGTATCCGTGGTCTTCCTACACTGTGTGGTCTTAAGAGCAAAGTTTGTCGGGCATTTTTGGGTACTGACGAATTAATATGGGAAGGAATAAGTCGCTGACACAAAAGACAACTGTAGAAATCATTGGATTACTAATATTAGGCAGGTCATCAAACAAAGGAAATACTAGTAGGTGGTGTGTGCGAGTGTTCAGTGATGACCTGCTTGAGTCGGTTCCTTGAAAACAATGTTTATGACATGGCCTCACCTAAAGCATGTCCAGGGAAGACTAGAAAACTGTCTCCACTAAGGTTAATTGTATTCACGTTCCATAGAAATGGTATGTAATCATTTGCCCAAATCTTTCACTCGGATAGGAAGCAACGTATAATTTTAAGCAAAACAGTTCTCCTTTCCACACCGAGATATCTATTGTTCAGTGGCTTTGTGACTGTGAAGTGCGCTTCTTCGAGATCTGGCCAGTAAACCACCCCCAGACTTGAGAACCTCTGCCATAAGATAAAGATCTATTAGAGAAAGGATATCAGCTACTTTTACAGTTTTAGGGAGCCATCCACGAGTCTTGGGGAAATTCACCCCTTGGAACCTCGAAGAATGCAGAATGCGTGATAAGGATTTCCTAGACAGTTGAAGGATGTTAATATGAGCAATGGACAACCTATTTTGTGGTCATTATTAAACAGCGAGCCGACGTACATTGTACACACACACACACACACACATACACACACACACACACACACACACACACACACACACACACACACACACACACACACGAACATGAATATTTTATAAGTACGAAGATCATTTCCGTAGAGTAAAAAACTCAGTTTTTACAACAGTATTGTTGCAAAGTAAATTGTTTAAATGTACATTTCTGAATAATGTAAATAAGTTCTGCAGAGATGAAGAGCTGTAATCTCAATAATTAACAAAAATCCAGATTATTTCAATAGCAGTGTTAGAAAGAAGGGACAGTAGCATAAAATAGAAAGAAAACCGAGTGTAGAAAAAAAATAGTAGAGACAGGAAGAATGAGTATGAATGACAGAGGGAAACTTTAAACGTACGTTATTGCAGTTATGAAAAATAATATATTTTCGACTATTATCAGCCATATCACATTCATGAGGTTTAATTTACAATATTTTTTGACGTCGTTGGCAGCTGGATACTTTTTAGAACTTACTCGCAGAGGGTTTCATATTTTAGGAACTTTTATGTGCATGGAGTTTCTACCGAGGTTCACTTAGAACACGAGACATCAGAGTCATATGTTTCTTGAATACACGTAGAAAAAAAATGAAGAGTGTAAACTCTGATTATTTTGAGGGAAATATGTTAATTATAGAATCTTTGTCACTGAGTCCAAATTTAAGTTGTTTGAAATGTAAGATGTCTAATGTTTTTAATATCATATTACTATGGGCATAATCTAATATTGTAAACTCATCTGGCCTCAGCGTATGATTGCGAAATTCTGAGTTTGCTGTTTATATTTCGCACTACGGCTTGTTTTGGAGAGTATTCATCGTATTCATGCACAACAGAATAATATCATCCCCATATTGATCCATGCAGGACAGAATAACATCATCCCCATATTGATCCATGCAGGACAGAATAACATCATCCCCATATTGATCTATGCAGGACAGAATAACATCATCTCCATATTGTTCCATGCAGGACAGAATAACATCATCCCCATATTGATCCATGCAAGACAGAATAACATTATCCCCATATTGATCTATGCAGGACAGGATAACATTATCCCCATATTGGTTGCTTACTCAGTTTTAAACGTTTCTCACCTTATATATTGCTACGGGGGAGAATCATCTTG